GAAACTGACAGATCTCAGCTTCTGGTATAAATTAATTCCCTTTGATATACCTAATATCTTCCTGTAACATTTCCCTTCAAATGCATTTTGACATCTGCTTATCCCTTTCACATGTTTCCAGCTTCTATAACCACCTGTTAGGCTGCAAACAGAAGGAGGTGGCAGGGCACTGCCCAAGCTTTGTCACACTTCCTCTGTGCCTGAATCTTGTTGGAGGAGGTCAATGCAGTTGCCACGTGGCCATTTCTGACATGCTTGATGACTTAAGGTCTAGACAAGTGAGGAAAGCCACAGAGATTTCTCAAGTTCTCAGATTTACTTTTTTTTGTAATAGAAAATCTCACCCTTGTTTTGGTGCAGGACACTGTTTTAGCCTTGGTTATGAAGTGGTTGAAGGATGACTCTGAAGGATTCTTTAGCCAACAAAAACCAAGCCATCTAACACACTATAAGCCATCTGATGCCATTTATCAAACATCCCATTTTCTCCTAAGGCAAGTGGTAAAAAGGCAACATGTTCTTGTTTGATAGCACTGCTGCAGCTTGACAAAAAACAAGTCTTAATTAAGCTATCTCCTTGATATTATGCTACAAGATGCCCCAGAATGAACCCCAGACTGCCACATGCTTCCCTAAAACCTGCAGTGAAAGAGTACTTACTACTTACTTCACTTACTAACACATTCTTTTCTATGTTGATGTTCCCAGAGTGAAAAAGAATCTGACTGATGCCTCCTTTCCAGCTGGAAACCAGCTTAACTCTTCCTTCATTTTGCACAGTCATTTCCTTTACTTTCCTTAAAACTCCAGTAGAGAAGCCTTTGCCCACCATGAAAGGAGCTCTGTACCTTGCCCCTTATTTCTACCTTGTTTCCTCAGTATTTGGAGTATAAAGGCATTTTCTGTTGTACTGCAGACTTCCTAAAACTTCAGTAATTGTATTAATGTTTCCATGATCTGAGCCATTTTACATTTTGGCAGTTATTTGGTTTCACCTGAAGCTCGTTCAAGTTACTTTTATGGGAGTATTTCCCTTGCAAGAATACTGAGATCTGATGAACAGGTGGGAAGAGACTCTGCTTTTTAATTACCTTGCTGGAAATGCAGCCCAACCTCCACAGGCTACAATAAATTTAGTACAGATTTATATTGTGGTAACAGACCAGAAAGTGACCTTTGGTTTCTGCATTTTCCCAATTTACATTAACCTGCTAAACTAGTTGCTTGTAACTATGGTAGCAGATTATATAGGAAACTCTATGAAAAAGTAAGGCTTAGAAAATAAACCCTCACAGTTGAGGAAAGCAACTATTATTCCCCATGAAACCCTAATATGGGCTTTTACTATCCTTTTAACATGCAGAAAGCAAAAGCCAGTTCTCTTTTTCAGCAACAGTGTTTTCCTGACTCCTGAATCTCCTTAAGATGTCACATAGGTGATGAGTAACTGCTTGTTCTTGCAAGCAAATAAACCACAAGCAGAATATTTCACTACTATGAAGCAACATGGCCAATAAAAGGGAAAAAATAAATTTAAAAATACCTCTTAAATAATGAAATATGCTTATATAGTTTATTTTAACACGTTGCTCTTCCTGAGCAGAAGCTCATTTTTTCTCCAAGGTTAAATCCACAAACTGTAACTAAGAACAGGTCCCAGAAAAAAGACAGAGTGAGGCAAAAGTCAAATTCTAATTTCATTCTTGGATCGTGCATGAGAATTATTTCCATGCAAGCAAGCACACCTAGAGGCTTTATTAGAATAACAAAACCAACTTGGTCACTACAGTAGACATTGTCCAGGATATTATCAGTACACTACTAATAATTAACACTGCATGTGAAGCTAAGATAAGGAAGGGAGCATGACATACAGAATACAGGAAATATAGTCACAATAAAATCAAGCCAGTAACAACCTAAGCAAACATCTGAATTACACAGCAGCTGTTGGACACTGTTCAGTGTGTTGCAGCAGGGAACTGATGACAATGCATTCCTAGTAAATTCCAACAAAAATACTTCTCACAATAAAAAAAATTGGAAAAGACCAAGCCTGTCATGACATCACTTTGAGCCTGGTTTTATTGATATTTACTAATGATACAAAACCACGTTATATAAAAAAGGACTGGAAAACAGGGACAGAAAAGCAGCAGCTGCTCCAGAAGAGCCTGTCACTTCCTGTGTCATAAACTGCTGTATCTAATCACCTTCCTTCTAAATTATTCTTTCCAACTGAAAAGAATCTTACGTAATTTATAAGCTCTGATGAAAAGCAATACATTCAGTTTTCTGAGCATTATGTAATATTAAGAGATGTTAAAATTCTATTTCTTGTAGTGACTTAAGGGAAAGCTTTAGGAGCTTTTCAGGAGCTTTTTGCCAACAACAGGAGGACTCAAGCTGAGCTCTCTAGGGTGCTTAGCTCATGAAGATTGTCTTTTTTGAAATGCACACGAGGCTAGAAGCCAAACACAAGTCTGGACTCAGGAACTGCATGACCATCCCCACTGCCACTGTCACCCACTGCTTCCCTTTGCTGTAAAGCTGCTCTTGGGTCACCTCTGGGTACTTTTAACTCTTCTCCTCAGCCACATGCTCCTCTAGTCCTTCAGCCAGGCTCCAAACCTCACCTTGCCAACTTGCCTTCTTCTCATTGCTGCCTTTTTCACCCCGCTGCCCAAACAGTTTGGGTGCCCTCAGCACCCACAACCCATTCACACCCCCTTGGGGACTCCCTGGTGTGGGTCTGATATGAGAAATACAAGCCTAAGAAATAATAACTACTGGCAAAGCCTGAGCTCTCTGAAGCAGCAGCATCCTCTGGAGCTTCACAGGGACTCCTTGTCTCTGTTTCAGCACAGACTACACATCCCTCTGGGCAAGAACCTAGTTATTTATGACATAATTAAAACAAAAAACCCCAAAAGCAATGGCATTATACTAATTCATTCTTCAAAGAGATGTCCTCAGATAAGGGGACGTATCACTCACCTAGATCTGCAAACAATGTGCTGCCTGTCAAGAACAGGTCCCTGCCAGCTGAGGTAACTTCCCAGTGCCTGCAGGCAGGTCACTCAGTGGGCTGGTCCCCTCACAGAATCAACGTCCTCAGGGCAGCTGAAGCCTCTAAGTTACAAGCATTCCAGGTATTCCTGTTGGCATGTTCTTTCAATCCTGCCAGTAACTGCTCTGAGCCACAGGCTCCATCCCAGCACCCAGGGGAGAAGACACAAAGGGTGGGTGACATAATAATGGCAGATGTCATAATGGGTGATGTCATAATGGAATATTTCTTAATGGGTGACATCATAAATGGAGATGTCATACTGGATGACTTCATAATGGGTGACATCACAATGGAAGATGTCATAATGGGTGACATCATGAAGGGAGACATCATAATCTGAGGTGTCATCATGGGTGATGTCATAATCAGCAACATCATAAAGGGAGATGTCTCAATGGGTGATGTCATAATGGGTGGTGTCATAATAGATGTCATAATGGGTGACATCATAATGGGTGACGTCATAATGGGGGACGTCATGATCAGTGATGCCATGATGGGATACATTATAATGGGTGACACCAGAATGGGAGATGTCATAATGGGTGATGTCATAAAGGGAGACTTCCTAATGGGCAACATCACGAAGGGAGACATCATAGCAGATGATGTCATAATGGGTGACACCATCATGGAAGACATCATGGGTGACAGGATAAAGGGAGATGACATAATGGGTGATGTCATAAGGGAAGACTTTATAATGGGAGACATGGTTTAGCAGTGGACTTGGTAGAGTTAGGTTAATAGTTGGAATTTATGATCTTCAAGGGTGTTTCCAACCTAAATGATTCCATGAAAAACTCCTTTGGGATGAAATGAAACCAAAAGCCACTAATGAGCAGTATCCCATTGAACAAGGCCAGAGAAAGCCCAAACTTAATTCCCTTTTTCAAAGTCACAGATAATGTGGATGCCAGGCACCCAGCACCATTTTGCTTTATGGATCATAGAATCATGCAATGGTTTGGGTTGGAAGGGACCTTCAAGATCATCCAGTTCCAGCCCCCTGCATGGGCAGGGACACCTCCCACCAGCCCAGGCTGCTCCAAGCCCCATCCAACCTGCCCTTCAACACTGCCAGGGATGGGGCAGCCATCTTCCCTGGTCAACCTGGGCCAGGCTCTCACCACCCTCACACTCCACAATTCCCTCCTCATGTCTCACCTCAATCTCCCCTCCTCCAGTTTTCATCCATTCCCCCCTGTCCTCCCTGAAAGCCACTCGGACACACTTCAGCTGTGTCACTCTACTTGCTAATGCAGAGATTGGTCTCTGTGCCCTTCTTAGTTCCTGCACGTTCGAGGCAAGATCAACAAATGAAGCAGCATTTTGCTCAACTCTGGAGAATTTCAAATGGGAAAGAAGATCCTGTGCAGACAGGAAGGATTGAACCCCCTGAACAGAGGAGCACCCCTTCCTAACCATGCAGACAGCACCTCTGGTACATCCCAGAGGGTTTATGCTCTGAACAGCCAAGCACCAAGGTGACTGTTCTTATGGGACTTCCTAAGGGGGGAGACAAGAGCCTGGCCACCAGCATTCCCTGGACATGAAGCCTCAGGAATCACCAGGAGTGAATGGGAGCACCTGGAGATGCAGCACCCAGCAGAACAGCACCTTGACAGCACATTAGAAGATTTCTGAGCCCACATCAGGAACCCGGGTTACCAACGCAAACATCATCTCCAGTTTTCAACTAAACAGTACATTTCAAATGTCTAACATTAACTTTGACTCCTCCTGAGAAACAAAAGCAGAGTTCTCAGAACGTTTCAATCCAGATTATCCTTAGGGATTGGATCACACTCCATCTGCTGCTACTCCAGGAAAAGAAATGAGCAGGTTGGCTGATGCTCATCCCCACCACAGGGCTGCCCTCCTTTTTACAACTTGAAGACAAAGCTCTTTCTTATACAGAACTTACCAATGGCCTTGGTGTAATGTCTGGCTCCAAGTAACAGCTCTGGGGCTCTGTACCAGAACGTCACCACAACTGGATCCAAGTCTGCCAGTGGCTTCAAAGGGGAGGTCAACAATCTTGCAAAAACCATAATCAGCTGGGGGGGAAGACAGGGAAAAGAAAAGAGTGTTTAAATTTTTAATATGAATAGATCAGAATTTAACAGCCTTGCCAGAAAGCAATTAAAACAAAAGCTCAAAAACATTAAAACTTACAAATCAAATTTTCTAAGAAAGCAACAATTTACCCATAACAACAGTGGCCCAAATGTATCTAAGGCTAAATTCCATTTACTTCATTTATAAGACTATGAAGGATGATTTTAAGACTTCTAATTGTTTTCATCAGGGTATTGTGAAACTACGTAACACAGAGGCCTGATGATTTACACAGAACTCTCAGCAGAAACCTGGTTAACTAAAGTCAATAGTAGCAGGACTCTAAGATATATTTTACCTTATATTTTTATATATGTCCACAAAGACCTGAGCCCTTGTGACTGCTACACGTGTACCCCAAAGGAACAAAATGTTTGTTTTGCAAAACAAAAATGACTACATTGTAGGCTCCTTTGCAGTATTTTTCAAAATATGCCTCCTACTTGATTTGGAGGAAAGAATTCCAGAATCAGGAAAAAGTTTTTAACTGGGAATCAATGAAACCCATGAGCATACACTGTCAGAAAGCTGTGATTTAAATGTAAGCATTCATTTCATGTATCTCAAAAAATCTCTCTAGAAAAAACCTTGTCAGTAACATTAAGGAACACTGGGTGGGGAAGTTCAACAGTTGGGTGTCTATTCAAACCCACCCATTTTAATCCAATCTGAAACATCTTTCACACAATTCGACCTACATCCCTCTGCTTCCAAAGAAATGCCAAGTGTAGATTTCTTGCAGTTACCTGGGCTACTGCAAGCATATAAATAAAAAATGCTGAGCTAAACATTTTCAAACACAACAGAAGTTGAGGAACAGAAAAGAGGTGCCAGTTCATTACTTCTTTCTTGATGACTCTCACATGCTTCGTTAAAAAAGGGTTCTGTCCACGTGGCAAAGGTTTATGATCTGCACAGGTAATGAGATTCTGGATAAAGACCATCACAGTTCCATGTGCTTCCCTTTGTGACACTGAACAGTCCTTTGGAGAGGAAACCTTTGGATCTCTACAGACACGTGCAGTGATGTTATTTATATAAAAATAATTAAGAACAAATACAATTTAGAAGTAACAATGCTATGCTAACTGATCGTAATCGACATCAAAAGAACCCTGGCCACAGCCATTATTTTATGTGCTTATTACTTTCCTGTTTCTTACAGATGCCTTTATCTCTCCAGATATCCTTGGCAAGCTTCAGAAATGTCTGCTGCTGTGTTTGGAATCTCTGCAGCTCGTAAACTCCAGCAAATGAGATTTACAATTGAACCAGACGTTGTGCATTCACACACTCAGACAATGAAGATCTGTCTCTACCTGACACTGAAGATGCAATCTTTTAATCATTACTTAGCTGTGCAATGAAACTTTCTCAAAACATTTACCTATTTTGACTCTTCCTCTTTCAGGACCTTCACCCATTACCAAAATGTTTGCTGGTTTCTGGAAAACAAAAAGTAGAATATTTAGTTGGCAGCCACTGATGATTATCTTCAAGAAGAGTAAATACATCTGCGTGTACTTTTAAGTGAAAACATTTTATAAATACCCTTAAAAGTCTAAAATTACCATGCCTTTATGCTTTACTAACATTTAATTTTTCTCCCTAGTTATCAATTTCACAACTGGAAAAACAATAAATGGCTTTCACATTTCACAGTCAGCAATGCAATCTTTAATGAAATTTGCATTTCCATTTTTTACCAGAATCATCAACTTCACTGGTGAGATTTTCACTTACAGGACAATTCTGCATGGGGCCAACATTTATGTTACACATCACTCATCTGGCAAGAGCTGCTTCTGCTGGTGGAACTTGTTGAAAAGTTAAGCCAAATCCTGGCATGCAGAGGCACAGAGGGGAGTTGCTTTTGCTACCACCATGTGTAACTAGAATTCTGCTTGTTTCAGTGTATAAATGACAAAAATCACATTGGCAAAAGCATTTCTTCCCCACAAGTGAGTTGATTTCATGCAATGAGAATTCACTTCAAACAGGAGGGTGCACAGAAGCTTTGAGCAGTGCAGACAGCAGCTTTACAAGTAGAACAAAACCTTTACAGGCATTTTCTGCAATCTGCAGCTGTTGTGAACCCTATAAAATCTGGACATGACATCCCAGCAATTGTTCTGCAATCAGGATCTAGGTTCCCTCAGCCATCAATAGTCATTCCTTGGAAGCTGCTCCCCTATTGTGTTAACAGCTGTAAAGAAGTAAACGAGATTGAAAACATGAAGTGTTTTGAATTAAGAGATGCAAAACAAAGTTTCAAAGCAGGATTTTTGGATGGTTGACCCAAACATTAATTATATTTCAAATCCCTGGTGCCTGGTCAAGCAGGACGTGTGCAAGAACCAGGGAGAAATGGCCAGAGAGCCAACACCAGAATCTCACCTCACTTCTCAGTTCCTAAGACTTGCCATTATTGACTTGAAACTAGACTCTCAAACTAGGGTTACTAATTAGGCTTCAATATGCAAATCCTTTTTTGAGAGAACAAATCAAACACACACATTCTCCTTCACCTATTCTGCTCTCCCTTCCTACCTCACCCCCAGTACCAGACATTGCTTCTTCCCTGGCTCCAGCCACAGCCTCCCTTTCCAACCCTGCTCCAGATGCCATTGCCTCTTTTATTCCTCCCTTTTTTTAACTTCAGGGTAATTCTCAAGACCATCCCAGACTTTTCATTCCCCAACATGTTTTGGAACCCTTCAAGAAGAAATATGCACTCCCTCCTTGGAGAATGCAATTGCTGTTTTATTGATCTTGAGTAAACACTTGCCAGTGAATCTAGGAAAGATAAAGATGATGCTTGTTCTTAGCTGGTATTTAATGATACTGACATCAACACTTGAAAGCAACTGCTCAGTTCAGGTTTTACATGTATGTTTTACCCTGAATTGAATATTCTGGAGAGCAGAACACTCTCCTTCTGCATATTCAGGAACCAGGCAGCAAAGGAAGCATGCAAGTTCACATCAAACTTGATGTCTGTTAGAAATTGCATGGCTAAAATTGTCCCAACCAAGACGGCAAAATTCATGGAACCATAAAATGGTAGAGGTTGGAAAGGATCTTCAAGATCATCCAATTCCACCCCCTGCATGGACAGGGACACCTCCCACCAGCCCAGGCTGCTCCAAGCCCCATCCAACCTGCCCTTCAACACTGCCAGGGATGGGGCAGCCACAGCTTCCCTGGGAAACCTGGGCCAGGCTCTCACCACCCTCACACTCCACAATTCCCTCCTCATGTCTCACCTCAATCTCCCCTCCTCCAGTTTTCATCCATTCCCCCTTGTCCTCTCCCTCCCTGCCCTTGTCCCAAGCCCCTCCCCAGCTTTCCTGGAGCCCCTTCAGGCACTGGAAGGTCTAAGGTCTCCCTGGAGCCTTCTCTTCTCCAGGTTGAACACCCTAACTCTCCCAGCCTGGCTCCAGAGCAGAGGTGCTCCAGCCCAAGGATCATCTTCATGGCCTCCTCTGGATTCACTCCAGCAGGTACATGTTCAGTTTTGTTATCAAAACTCAGGTCTGAGTCCAGTTGGGTTTTAAACACTTCCAGGGATGGAGACTCCACAGCCTCTCTATGAAATCTCTTTCAGTGTTTGACCACCATCCCAGTCAAAAAAGGTTTCTTTGTCCATTTAATTTATGCCCACTGCCTCTGCTCCTGTCACTGGACAGCACTGAAGAGTCTGGCTCAGTTTTTTTGATGCCTACTAACCAGGTATGTCTACATGTGGGTGAGATACCACCCCAGGCCTCCTCCTCTCCAGGCTGAGCAGGCTCAGCTCCCTCAGCCTCCGAAAGACACCCCAAATCCCTAAGGAACCTAGTGGCCCTGCTCATACAGAGCATTGATTAGTTTAGAAACTCTGCAAGCAAGGAACTGGCCCAGCTGTGTATTTATAAGGCAGAATGTTTTGAAGAGGTGTTGTCCCATTGAGAAGTTCCATCTGTACCAAAAGCTTGGATCAGAGGATCATCATGGATCATGCATCATGGATCAGAGCCCTGCTCTGACCAGGCTCACCAGGTTCCATATCAATTAGCTCCTGTGAATCTCTCCAAGGCAGGGAGACAGAGGGAAAACAGAGAAGGAACGAAGCATGAAACAATCAAAACTTTAGCCTTATTTCCAAAAGAGAAAGTGCTTCTCCTGAGGCACCAGAAGCCATGTGGAGATGACAGGCAGGACCCTCACTCAGCCCAGTGTCTCAGGAACAGATTGAACTGCAGCAGCTCCCTGCAAGGTACAAAGTCTTCATTTAAACCTGTTCCTTAAGTCAGAAGGAAAACACACCTCAACTTGCTTATTTCCTACCCAAGCCAATTACTGCTTGGTTATCAGCTGCTAAAATGATAAGGGCTTTCCACATTCCTCTTGCTAATCAGAGCTGTTCTGGTTAGGAAAGCATTTTCAACTGTCTCTAACACTGAAGCAGTGAAGGAACAACACTAACCTGGTAGGACCCAGCTTTCTGAGATGGTATCCAGCTCCTGTGCCCAGGATTTTTTATTTAATAAAGAGTTTCAGAGGAGCTTAAAACACAGGTCATGTTTTGTGGTTGTTTTATATAATAATGGCTGAAACACTGTAAAGCAAAACTCTTTGTGTCCCCAGAGTCTTCATGATACACAAGCCATGGTGATAGCAACCCAACCCTCCTGGAGCACCTCCTGGTGCTTCCCTGGGACCTTGGCTAAAGCAGAGGCACCAAGGCAGAACCTCAGGTGCTCAGGTATGGAGGAAAGACTTTGGGTTATTTCAGAGGGATTCATTTGGCATCAGAGGTCCTCAGAAAAGCAGGTAATGGGAGAGCATGTTGCTTAAAGTCCTACATATCCAGAGATTAGACTATCAAAATACCGTGCTCTGAGACAGTCACTTAATAGTACAGTCTAGAATTAATCTAGCATAAGATAATTACTGGAGAGCTGCAAAATCAGATGAAAAAGAGGGAATCAGGGAAATTAAAAAAGGTCCAAACCTCGTGTATATTCAGGCTACACATGCACCAGTCCAGGTCCTGAAACAAACCTCCCTGCTCTCCACGGGGTGAAGAGAACAGGCTGTTAGGTGGGAGAAAACACGAAGGCCCAAGCAGCTAAGAGACCAAAACCTGCCCCATACTTAGCATGACACACAACCACATCTCTTCCCAAGAGGATAGAATTTTATTCCAGAAAGTTTGATATGCCCTGCTTAAATTAACTCACTCCTTAGAAATGGCTGAGGTAACTCAACAAGGACTACACTCCTGAGCCAGTTACAGACTAATTAATTCCCTCTCTGTTTTCCTCAAACTCTCCCCTTGCTGAGAACACAAAAAACCAGCTGGGAAGCAAAGTGATGCTGCAGCTTCTCCACCTATCTAGTTGCTATGGAAACAACAGAAACAGTGTGAGTTGGAGTCTTAGAGTTAAGATCAGCTATAAAAGTGAGCAGAGAAATCTCTGCTGAGATTTCAGTTGAGGCTTGACTGTCTGCAGAATATTTGCAAAAAGAGCAAGTTCAACAGCAACAAACAACTGGAGCAAACACCTGAAATATTCTGCCAAGAGGGATGTAGATGGCAACAATGGAATGGCTTCTTCACAAGGAATAACCAGAGATTTACTTTTCTCCTTCAGAGAGTGGGAATAAAGCAATTAACAGATCTTGGTGGGAGACTAATGAAAACATTGGGCTAACAAGGATGTTTTCATCAATAATAGAAGTATCATGAATGGGACTCATATGAGCATCCATGTTATCTTAATCAATATACTTCCTATTTAAATATTTAGACAGTAGATCAGAATAAAGGTTGAAGGAAAATAAACCATCTATGGTTTTGAAAGAACAGAATGGGTCAAAACAGGAAAAACAGCCTAACAATAGATGGCAATACTTCAGTTTTAGTGGTTATTGTTGTTATCTCCTCCAGCCCAGTGGTGACACAATTCTTAAGAGATTTGGTGCAGAATTATGTTCCTGTGAGAAAATGTCCCCAGGGACATACCACTTTCCATACACCATTCTTTATTGTTTATATCCAAACAAACGTGTTTCCCTTTTGGAATGCATCACTGAAGAAAGAATTATCTGAAATTAAGAGGCTTCTGTTGTAAAAAAAATACAGTAAGTCTTTTAGATAATAAAAGCTCTCCCCACAATTAAAGAAACTGGCTTGTGAGGAGGTCTTTTCAAGTCTCCATTATTTAAAAAAGCAAGTGTAAACAGCCAAGTGTTGATCCATAAATGTGCTTTGAATTGAAAAGCCACAACCAAGAGCAGTGGTGATTTTGCCTCAGCTTTTAGCACACTGCTCTCCACATGACAAAGCTCCTAAACGAGATGACAGTGCTGCACTCCAAGGGCACTGCTCAAAAGCCCACTGAGCTTTCAGAAGTTCAGGATGAAGAGGGAGCTGCAGATTGTTCACAGGAATTTGCCA